GGCCACGCGCAGCGCGGGACAGGAGAGGGCCGAGCTAACCCTGGTAAGTCCCAAATTCTGGCTTTGAAAAAATAAATGTCCTCGGAGCAGGGGTCTCCAGTTCGGTGAAAGCGAGTTGCGTCCTGGCGCTTTGGGCTGTCCTGACCGTCTCTCTGGGTCCTCTCTCTTTAAATAACAATAATAATAATTACAAAGGCGAGAGAGCTTTCGGAGCTGGAATGGCCTGAGCATAGGTGAGTCTCATGCAGGGAGCATGCGAGGCCCGCGGGCTGGCAGGGCGGGGTCCCCCTCACGTCTCCACGGGACTCGGCACCATACTGTTGGGAGTGTCCGGGAGCTGCGAGGACAGGGAGGTCACATCGCTGCCGGAAGAGTTGCCTAGGGAGCCGGACTCAGAGAAGGAGACCTGGGGCGGCGGAGACACCAGAAAGGAGCGGATGAAGACGCGCCCGAACTGGTGCTCCGACGCCGCGTGCTCCGAGTCCGGGAGTGTCCCTTGGAACCGGACGCCGGCAGAAGGAGGGCAGGTCCCCAGGCGCACTCAGGGGGATTAGGGCGGGGGCGCGGTTGGGGTAATCCCGCGACCTCTCCTGCGCGGGCTTTAACCCAGGGAGGCCTGGTTCAGGGCGCATTATGGGCTGGGGTGAGGTGACAGGCTCTGCCACTAGCCCCCTTGCCTACGGCTGTCCCCTGCCCTTCATCCCATTGGAAGCCCCACTTCCTCCCCGCCTCGGCTAAGTGCCTAAATCCCCACCCCACCCCCAGGGTCCCGAGGTCGAGCCGGGCAGGGCAGGGCCTCACCAGCTGCTGGAAGGCGGGTTGGTCCAGGTCACTCTGGAGGGCGAACTCGCTAAGCGCTTTCCACGGCGGCTGGTACGTTTGTACTTCGACTGCGCTGCCCTGCACGGCGCTCTCGTGGCGGATGGGGCTGCCAGCCACCAGGGGCGTCCCGGTCAGTCCCTGGAGGCTCTGTGGGGCAAGCAGAAGGCGGACGGCGCTCGAGTTAGGTCTTGCCTTTTCTGCCACCTTTGAGACTGGGGCCCCGGGTATTGGGCTGTGATTCGGAACCTGTATTGGTTCGGGGAAGGCGCACACTCGACCGCACTCGGAAGAGCCCTCCTTCCCCACCGGGGATACCCCGGGGTCCGCAAATCCGCCACCGTGGGCCAGCCTCAGTATTGGGAGCTAACCACCCTGCAGGAGAAGGCGAGGCCTGCTACCCCGGCCCGGCCAGGTGTGCCGAGAGAAGGACACAACGCCGCTGCGCATATCCATGTCGCCGTGGGCTCCTCGCTGGGCCTGGGACCCCCAACTCGGGGCTGTCGCTGAGGAGAAGATCCGACCTCTGACAATAATTAGGGCACCTTCAACCCCAAGGCAAGCCTTGCTCTGAAGTTACAGACGCACGCTCTTTGGAGGGTCCAGTTCTCCCTGGATCTCCCCAGAGCCCGCCCAGAAAAGGGCACGCAGATGCGGCGGCGCGAACGCGAGGCCCCTCACCGTCTTGTCGTTGTGCTGCTGCTGCTGCAGCTGCTTCATAAGAATGGACTTTTTCTTGTCCTTGCAGCGCTTGTTCTGGAACCAGACGCGGATGACCCGCGGGCTCAGGCCGGTCATCTCGACGAGCTGCTCCTTCATGAGCGCGTCGGGCCGCGGGTTGGCGGCGTAGCACGTCCGCAGCGTGTGCAGCTGCTTCTCGTTCAGCACGGTCCGCACGCGGGTCGTCTTCTCCGTCTGCTTGTGCACGTGCGGGCGCAGCGAGGGCTGCCGGCCCGACCCTGCGTCTGCGAGGACAGGGTAGGGGCGAGAGGTGAGAGAAGGGCCGCCACCCACCCGCGGCGCCCAGCCTTGGGGAGGCCGCGCTCTCCGGGGCCCGATTTCGTTTCTCTTCTATTGCGTTTATTTCGTTTTATTGCTCGTCTCCCTCTCCATCCGTTCGCCTTACCCGGAGGGAGCTGTGCGCTTTCGTCCTTTCCCCCGCTCACCGGCCGGCCGCCCCGCAGCCATCTCTCCGGAGAGCAAGCGGGGAGCTCCGCGCTAGGCCGCTGCGGGACGGGAGTGGCCGCTCGGGGCTATGCCTCCTCCACTCCCAGAACGCTAGGAGGGCCGGCTTGGGCCCCGCGGGACGAGCGGAGCCCTCCGGAAGAAGTCGGAGTTTCAGAGGAAGAGAAAAAGGAAGGAGGCGCGCCCGGGACTCTGGAGCGGGAAAGGGACCGACGCGGACCCGGCACGCAGCGCTGCTCGGGAACTGGGGTTCGTCTCCCGCTCCCGGGGGCCTAGGAGGGAGGGCCCTTCCCCTTCGTTCAGAGCCCACTCGGACAGGGCCGCTCCATGTGTCGCGAACACCCGGCCTGGGGCATGGATGGGCCTCCAGCGTTCGGAACGGGCCCTTCCTGCCTGCCCCTGGGTCTCGGTCCCCAGGTCTCCTCCGTCAGGCTGCAGGTTTCCCGGCCCCGTGGCCGCCCGCCCTCCGCGCGCGCGCTGCCGCTGGCACTCTCCTTGCCTGGCCTCGGGTTCTCTCAGCCTCCGGGACTCGGAGCCTGATTCCTGCAGCCCGGAGCCCGCAACAAACAAAGGGGACTCACTCCGAGATCCGAGGCAGGAGCGCACCTAACACCCGCTTCATCCCGTTTCACATCCCCATCCGAACCTGGTCTACACAGCCACGGATGTATGTTGCACTGTTTAGATTTATGTCCCCCTCTAGACATGTCTAGGTGTGGATAAATATTTACAAATAGCCCAATCTCCTTCTATAGGGAGGAAACGGAGATCCAGGACGGGAGGAGCACTGCAAGGCCACACAGCCCCGGAGACTCGGCCTGATCTAGAGAGCTGCGCTGCGGGCCCGCGGCTACCCGGGGGACAGGGACTGAGGGTCTCTCACCACCCCCACTGCGTGTGCTCACACACTCAGACCCCGTCTCTGGGCAGCTCCTGATGAGGACACAGAACATCCTCCTGCGGTGTTTTCTATGCTACCTTCCACCTTCCGCCGTGCCTTTATACTTCCTCCCCCCTCCTGCCGTGCCCCCCAGGAGAACCTGGCTAAATAGTTCATCAAACTGGGCCTCAAAACACAGACACCATTTTACCCGAGGGCTCCAGGCTGGCTGAGCCCAAGCCCAGCTCCCTGTTGGAAGCTGTATGACTTACGTACATACCCCAGGGCAGACCAATCTTTCCTTTCTGATAATAACACATATTCCTCGAAGAAATTTTGAACACAAGTCCCCCTAGACAGGCACCACTTAAGCTCCCCGGTTGTCATTCACTCTCCTGCCCCCAGCACTGTGTCCCACCTCCTTCTGGTCACGGAGAACACAATTCTCCACCGTTCCCCATGCTCACGCGCTCGTACACACGCAGTGTCTCCCCTGCACACGCGAGCACACACGGCGTGTTCCCAGCACACAGTTGTGCACTCACACAGAAAACGCACTACCCCGGCAGACGGAACCCCACGCAAGTGACGACTTCTCACCAGGAGCACAAGCACCCTACACACACGCACACACCACTCACCCGGGCGCGGGCGGTGCGGGCCCCGGTGCCCGCGGCTTACCTGGCAGATGCAGGC